GTCCCTTCCGACCCTAGAAACTATGAAACTATGATCCTGGTTTCCTGCTATTTAAGAAAAATCCCCAATTTTTATATTCCCCAAATCCACATTTTTTTGTGATTTAAATGAAACACCACTAATATATATATATATATATATATACACATACACACACACAGACACACATATATTATTTACACACACATATATATATACATACACACACATATATATATATTTACACACACATATATATACACACACACACACATACACAGTGGTGTTTCACACAGATTCACAGAAGTTTAGAGCTGGAAGGGACCTCGCGAGATCATCGGGTCCAGCCCCACCCTGCTCTGGGCAGGATCATGGAAAAATGTGGATTTGGGATTACGTTTTTTTAACTGAAAATTGGGGATGCTTTTAAATCAGAGAAAACCAGGATGCCTACTTATGAGCATGGAGAGAAACCACACTAAGTCTTTGCAGGCTATCTGCAAAGGAGTCACTTCACCCATCGCTGAAATGCAGCCAACTCTGGGGGAAGTGTCTCCCTATGCCTGAAGAAGGGGGCTTGTACCTGAAAGCTTGCAAAGAACTTTGTTTCACCTACTCAGTTGGTGTGATAAAAGATATCACATCTGCCCAAAGAAGCTTGCTTGCCTATGTCCTTCGACCAACACAGCTACACCAAAAACTCTGCTGCATGTCACAGCATTACTGAGTAAGTCAGCATTACTGAATAGCTCAGGATAGGAGATGGAGCTCAAGGGAGCTGCCCCTCACATCTCTGAGAGTAGCCAAGACACATCTGGACCCTGCTCTTTTCTCTCCTGTGCCCTACAGCTTCGACCAAGCCTGTTTCTGCAGGTGCACTGGTAATGGGCTGAAACCCCTTTCACCGCTTGGCCACAGATTTATATCAAGCCACAAAGACTGGGTGGCTGTAGGGTGGCCTCCGGGAAGCGAGTGCCAGTGGTGCGCTGCCTGGTTCCTAGCAGATATCACCATAGGAAGCACCAGCACATCTGGGGCTGGCTGGCAGCGAGACCGCAGGTCAGATGGGCTGTGCTCTTTAGAGTTTCCTTGCAGGTGAGAAAGGTTTTCCTAATATCTAACCTATACTCCCCTTGCTGCAATTTGGGTCCATTGCTCCTCATCATCTGTCCCCACTGAGAACAGTTTTGCATCATGATGGCAACGGACCAGAGACGGGGGCTGGCCCTGGCGCTCTGGGAGCAAATCTTTGAAGGAGGTTGCTGCCAGCTGCATCGCATCAAATCTGCCTCTCTGAAACACACGGCACAGAGCTGCACCCTCAAAGAGCCCTCTGTTTGGAAACGGGCAGGGACTCGGTCATGCTGGTCTCGGGCTGCCTGTTCCAGGGTTGGGGGAAGCGCAGATCTTCCTCGACTACCCCACAGCACGGATGCATGTCTGTACTTGGCCACACACACATGCACATTGGGGCTTTAACCTGGCAGCTGGCTGCACTCAAAGCTTATCAGCACAAGAAATCTGCATGCATTAATATCCCAGTAGGGTATATGCACGGGTTTTACTGGTATTCTTATACTACCTGGGGCATATTTATAAGGTTGTAACTGCATCTGCTTGAAGGTGCAGACTGGTAAGTGGCACAATCTCCCCCCACTTAGCTGACATCCTTCTCCCCATACCCAGTGCATCGGTAGCCCAGGCCTCGGGCGCTCCTCATTTTTTCTTGCATGGCTGAATACCAAAAATGACCCCTATCTCATTCCTGAAATGGCTAAATAAACAAACAGCTCAACAAAGAGGCCTTCATCCTGCTGCCCCAGTGCTTTCCCATCTCATTAGGCTCAATTAGGCCCTTGCCTTTGTAGGGGCAAATGAGCGTAGGCAAAAAATAAAGCCCAACCTGCCTCTGAATGGGAGCATTTGCCACAGAGGCAGAAAGACGGCGCTCCGGGAGACTGCACGGCGGTCTCGGGGCGGCCAGCTGGATGGCAGAGAGATGAGATTGCCACGGCCAGACAAACTCTCCTCTATTGCCGCGCTTTCCCGTGCTGCCAAAGCCAAGCACGGCGGCTTATGGGGAAAGCGTCCCCGTTTCACACTGCTTGGACATGCAAAGCCAACACAGCACCATGTCTCTGGTCATTAGCGGGTCCTCTATGACGGTAGCACCTGCTTTTGTTGCATTGAACTTTTCCCAGGCCCCTCTCCTAGCCATACAGATTGTCCCCCTTGCAAGCCCCGGCAGGGAGGAAGGAAGAGAGGAGCTGGGGCTGGCAGGGAGGAAGGAAGAGAGGAGCTGCTCCGAGCCCCAGCGCATGTGGGGTGCCCGGGGGTCACCGCCCTGCAGGGAGGGGAAGGGTCTGCTCTCCGGAGGAGCTGAGTACCCACACCTCACCTGCGACGGCTTCGTAGAGGTCGGCTTGATAGTCCAAGGACTCGTGCTCCTCGAAGCGCTGCGGCCCCTCGCACAGGACGCGGCACTCCTCGTCGGCCATGTAATACTCCCCCAGGGCTCGCTCCAGCTGCTCGATGGCCGGCCCGTACTCTTCCCTGTCGTAGTGCTTCACCCCCGCGCTGTAGGCCTCCTGCAAAGAAGCCCAGCAGGCCCTTGAGGTGTCAGAACAGCAGTCCTGGAGCACACGTGCATGGACCCAGGCAATGGGGGAAGGCAGTAAATCAATGCCCGAGCTGCTGGGGTTTCCTGAACAACCCTCACCTCCTTTTTTCCCGTGCTGGATGTGTCACAATATTCCTCCTCCTCCTCCCAGATACCCTGATCCCAGAAGCACAACACTTAGCACATGCAAGACGTGGCTGGAGATGGACCCTTTCGAGGGATGCTTAGGCCAGTGATCACACCCAGTGCTATCAGGCGACCCCAAGAAAGAACGGTGGTCGTGGGTCATGACTCAGTTTCCCTGCTCTGTTTTCAACTGGCCAAGAGATTATCTCAGAGAAATGGGTGAGAATACAGAAATCTGAACCTGAACTGTATTCATCTCTGCCACTCAAAGGCAAAGGGATGCCTCAAACCATCAGGATGGGTATTGAAGACCCTGAGACGTTGCCACCCAGTAGTGAGCAGGTCTCTGTATTCTCTGCTACGTATCATAATGTTGCCTGATGAATAACATCCCAATAAACTGGAGTATAGTTCAGATGAATTTGCTTTGGCTTCTCTTGTACTTCTCTGGATAAAATCAAGGCCCCCAGAGTCATCCTGGGTGCAACATGGCGGCACTGGGAATAGTGTGAGGTCCTACTGCTTCGGATGCGGCTCGTCACCCTGATGGCATGTTGCAGCCTCTTCCAGCATCTCGCCTAGGCGAGGTGGCTGGGAAGGGGAGACAACCTGGTGCCCTGGCAATCCCTTGCTTCAAGAACGGTACCTGAGGCTGCTGTTGCACCCCCCAGGGTCATGCCGGTGGGGCTGGGTGTGATGAAGCCCTCTTATGCCCTCCCTACTGCTTCCTAATCAGGTGTGTGTGCCACATGCAGCTCCTCCAGACTGGAGAATCTGGCCTCAAATAGGTGTGCACAAGCCAGGACGTGTAAATCAGCTTGTGCAATGTGTGCAGAGGTAATGAAGCAATCCATCACGCCAGGCCACAGAGAGCAATGAGCAAGGGAGGAAGGAGCTCCCCAAAGGGGGAGCGACCGGCACAGGGCACAGGATGGAGGATGCCTGGACCACTGTATTCATTCATATACCATGCGCCTCCAAATCAGACACGCTCCTTGCTTGGAGAAGGCAGAAGCAAAGAAAAAAGATAGATTTTCCCCTTTAACCCAAGAGTCAACCTCCTCGTTTAAGACCCAGACCCCAATATAATATAATTTGAAGGGGAAACATGAGCATGGTATGCGAAAAAATAAGGTAACAGGGCACGTGGGGTTAGCTTGGTGCAAATTCAACTGATTGCAGCCATGTACCTTTCTGATTTGCCCCGACCACAGTCTGGCTGACACTTGCCCTTCTCGCCAGCCTGGGGAGAGCCAGATTCCCAAACTCACCATGTGTGGCCTGGCCTCTCGGTCAACCAGAGTGGCCTTCCCGGCCATGGTCTTGTAGTTCTCGATGTCCTGCTGCATTTCCAGGTGCTCGGGGTTCGCCAGGAAGAAGGTGTGAGCTGCATCCGCTGCCTCCTCCAGCTTGTTCAGCTAGAACGAGAGAAAAAGCATCCGGCGGTCAGTGCCCCGTGACAGCCCAGAAACAAGCCCTGCTCCTGGTCACCCCGACCTGGATGCAGAGCGTTGCATTGCTGAATTTAGGGGGAGATCCCGTCTTTCCATGTCGCGCCAGGCAGGTGTTTCTAGCACATGCTTGTGCGCAAAGGGAAACTCCCTGGTAACAACACGATGGAGAAGCATGCCAGCCGTCCCGACAGACAGACCACAAAGCCCCGTCGGCTCTCCAAAGACGTTACTCATCCATGAGAGAGCAGCAGCCCACCGTGGACCGCAGCCAGCACCAAGACGAAAGCAGGGAGCTCTAGCACAGCATCCGGGGGGGGTCCTGAGCACGAACCGCCTGCCACTTGGACAGACTCTGGTGGGGAACGGGACGGGAAGCCACATCCGCTTGTTTGCTTTGGTCCTGTCTGCTGGCAACAGCTCAGCTTCCCAGACCAGCCAGCCAGCGTGGGGAGCATCGTGCATCCCCGGTCTGTGCTCCGGCCGGTGATGCTGGTCAAGGGGAAGCGTCGTGAATTGACTCAGCCAGAGCAGGGCTCCGGGATGGCAGAGTCACCGCACTGGGTCAGACGAAATGTCCGTCTAGCCCGGCAGCCTGTCTCTGGCAGTGGCAAGCAGCAGATGCTTTAGAGGAAGGGTGTTATATGAGACAAGGTGTGTATAGGGGCCTTGCTACACGTTCCAATTAAAGCTGGATACACACCAGCTATAGGGTCAATATACAAGAACGAACTTTACAGCTGCTTGGCTCATTTTGTAGCTGGACAGTCATTTTTATCGCATGGTAATAATCACTTTGCATGTGTGGCCAGTTTAAATCTATTGCACAGTTCACCAGTTAATTGGGTAATGTATGTCACGTGTAGCAGGCGCCTAGGACTAACCTCTCCTCTGTCACGTCCCTCCACTGTCAGACAACATAGGTGCAGGGATAGCCTGAGTCTGAGGTTACATCCCTGTTGTGTTTTGCAGTTCCCAAGGGATCTGTCCCCCCATAAATCTACCCGATCCCTGTCTGTATCCAGGTTATGCTATGGGCCTGCACCATATCCACCTTGCTTTAGGTGATGGGCCATGCATTATAGCAATGCTGAATGCATGGAACTGGTGTATGACGCGAGCAGCAAATGTGAAATGATTAATCCACGGTTAGTGTCCAACTGGCTGATACGTTGCCTACTGCATGGCTTATAATGGCTTCACAGCCATGGGTAGGGCACGCCGCTCATGCCCAGTACAGCTGCTCAGCATTTATAAATGCTTAGCAAATTGTTTCAAGCTGGAACCTCCATAATGGAGAAGGAACAAGCTGCACGGCTAGAAACAGCGTGCTGCCCTGGGGCAGAGCTGGCTGGGGGGAGATGCCCTGAGTAGTGGAAGGCACGGCATCCTGCTTCCTCCTTGCTAGGGAGCTACTACTATTCGACGAAAGCTTGCGAGGCTGCAGCTGTGAAATGCAAATGGAAAATGGGGCTCCAGCTTGCTGACCCCACGTGTGTCCATGCCGGTGGGGAACCCGACATGCTGTCACTTAGAAACCGACCCAATCCTGACCACGGGCGAGTGAAAGAGGGCTCTGTTCTACCAAGAAACGTGTGGTCCTGAGAGCCTGGGCCTTGTTACATGGTAAGTTTAAGCTTCTGGAGCTCTTACCACTTGGATTACCCTCAAGTTAATACCTCGCTTTAAGTGGTTTAAAGCACTTGTTATTCTGCTTAAAGTTACGCCACCCCAGGGCAGGATTATCTCTGATCTGCCTAATTTTGCTCCTGTTCCATTAAGGCGTGGCCACTCTCTACAGCTATTTCACCCAAGATGAAGTCCTCCAGCATCCCAGAATGCAGTGGCCCATCCTATGACAGGAAAGAGCCCTTTGGCTTGCAGATCAGTCCTGTTCAGTGCAGATACTACTACCACCGAGAAGCTACCACAAGGTCCCCTGAGGACAGTGCCTTCTCTCTGAGGATGCCACTGGGTGTGAAGGGATAACTGCAGCTTCTTGGCTTGGGGCAGGGACCCAAACTTCCTCCTGACATGGGACAACCTTGGGGAAGGCAGCATGAGTTGGCCTGCACTATTTTTACTACCCTGAGAAGGGCAAACTGGTCTTGAGGCCACATAGTTAGCAAAGGCAGAGCTATCCTGCCTCTGAGGCCTCCTGGCTCCGGAGAGAGCATGTGGTTACAGAAGGAGCACTGCAAAGAGGCACTGTTTCCATGACCTGTGCTGCCTTGGGCAGGAGCAACCTGGAGCTGGATAGAAGCAGCAGCCTTGCATTCAACCAGCCTGGAAGGATTTCTCCAGAAGCAACAGGTTCAGACCGAGTTCCTGCAAACCTGTTCTCGTTCATTAACTGGAGCAGGCTGCCAGGGGCTCCAAAAACAGGCCAGGCATTCAAGCAGCCTGGCGACAACCCCTCTAGCACAGGGTGTCCGGTTCACCAGGTTTGGGAAAGCACAAAGCTGGCTCAAGAGGAATATTTATCTTGCAAGGTAACATTCCCTGATGGCTTTGTGGGAACAAATCTTGGCTGCAAAGAAAGGATCGGGTGCCATCCGCGGCCCTGTGCTCAAACCTTCCCAGCGACAAAAACCCATTAAGAAGGTACAGCCCTGGATTTCCTCTGGAGCTTGCTAAGGGCATCAGGAGGTGAAGCTAGCTTCTGCGCACGTTTATTTGCCAGCAAACAAGCTTGCTAGCGAGGGGAGCTTAACCCAAGAGCAGCAGGGCAGGGGCGTGTGCTACGAAGCGCATCGGGACACTCGGATGGCGGGTAGGAAATCCTTAAAGGACTGCAGTCCTCTTTCATCTGTGCTGTAGGACTATTTAGATTAGAGTCAATGCAAACACAGCTCGGGGAGCTAACAAGGGGGTTACAGTGCGGCGTGCTGGGGGAGTGTGGAAACATCTCTGGCGCTGTCAGGATTTATTGGCTGAGATTTATATTGACGCCTGAGTGATCTGAACATCAATCCCTTAATGCGACCAGGCATCCAAGTCCTCTAGGTGGTTTCCAAAAACTCTATGCCCTCATCTGAAAAAATATAGTAATGCTTTTGTATCAATCGCGGTGGCAAGCAGATGCTGCCCGCAAGAGCAAAATAATACCGACCTACTTAAATGGCCCCACTTATGGCAGTAATTGAGCCCCTTTCCATTGCAGAAAAGTTGGAAAAACAACAGTTTCTTTCTTCCATCCTCCCAGCCTTCAGGTGAGGGAGGTGGGGGAGCTCAGAGTTTTGTCTACATGTTTGCCGTCATGGGGAAGAGGTAACGCAGGACCACAGAAGAGTCCCTGATTAAATCAGCCCACTCAAATATCTGTCCAACCTGCTGCAAAAAGCTTCCAGGCATGGAGATGTATTCCAGGAGCAATGGGCTCAAGTTGCAGCAAGGAAAGTTGAGGTTAGATATGAGGAAAAACTTTTTCATGAGAAGGGTGGTGCAGCACTGGGGCAGGTTACCCAGAGGTGGTGGACTCTCCATCCTTGGAGGTGTTTAAGGCCCAGCTAGACAAAGCCTTGGCTGGGATGATGGAGTTGGGGCTGGTCCTGCTTGGAGCAGGGGTTTGGACTAGATGAGACCTCCTGAGGTCTCTACCAACCCTGAATTTCTATGACTCCAGAGCCTCCCTGGGCTGAACCCCCCTCCTACTTACAAAGCTCTTCCCCTCAGCCTCCCTTGCTGCAGTATAAAACCCTTTCTCCTTGGCGGTGAGTTTCCAGTCCAGATATTTCACAGGGGTTTGGACAAAACTGGAGAAACCCTCCTGACAGGTCAGAGGAAGATGGTGGGAGCCAACTCTGGAGGTGCCATCCCTGGGCTCTGTCGGCCCTGGTGCGCTCGGTGAGAAAACAGCCTGAATCCTGCTCTCGTAGGCACCCAGGCATGGGCTGGGGGACTGACACCCACTGACATTTCCACCCACCTAGTCAGAGGCTACCCGGTTCCCAACAGACCCAAACTCCAACCCGCAGGGTTTGATTCAATCACCCCATCTCAACCCAAATCCACCCTGAGAAGCAGCACTTTCCAACGCCCGTAAAAAGACCATGCAAACTCCAGCCCAATGGCATTGCAGAACAGGATCCGGCTTTGCTTTTTCAACAGCAAAATCCCCCGGGCCAAGCGATGCCCGAATGGCATTCAGAGCATCCCCGAGTGCAAACCTTTTAGCTCCGTAACGTCAGGCTGGGCAGGCAGCCACGGCTCTCCCTCCGAAAGGCACTGCTCTCCCATTTACTCATCTCGTCTACATGGAAGTGACAGCTTGGCTTTCTGCTCATGCACCGACCCCCGGCTCTGTCTTGCAACTTAGTTGGCTCAGTCAGTCCCCCTTGGTCTGGTTTAGAGAAGCCCAAGTGATTTTCACAGATTTCATAGACATTTGGGACTAGAAGGGACACCGCGAGATCATCAGGCTGAGCTCCCTGCCCAAGGGTCAAATCACCCCAGCAAGATAAGCATCCAAAAGCATCATCCATGAGCATTTGCACAGGGTTCTGCTTTAAAAGGCACTACAGCAATGGCTTGAAGTTGCAGCAAAGTAGATTTAGATTGGATCTTGGCAAAAACTTCTTCACTGCTAGAGCAGGGAGGCAAGGGGAATAGATGCACAGGGATGCTGTGGACTCTCCACCCCTGGAGGTGTTCAAGAAGAGCCGGGACAGCCACTGGCTGGGGATGATCTAGGCATAGCGATGCCTATTTTTTACTATGGGATCTTCCCATGCTTTTGCACATACAGCCAGAATTGAATTTTTCCTCCTCCTGCTGCTGTGTGTGTCAGGGTTTTGTTAAGCCTCCCTCAGAGGCACGGGGTATTGGCCGCAGCCCAGGCTGGGGATGGGGACAGTGCTCCTGCTGGCACCAAAGCTGGATGCTTTCCTTCCACAGGAACAACCCTGCCCCGAGAAACATCGCCACACTCCCCTGCGCCGCACGGCGAGCGAGCCAATATACCGTGCACGGTTCAGCCACAGTTCACGGTCCCTCTGGTTTTCATCACAATACAAGCAAGTCATCTTTCCTCTGCAAGCCAGTCTAAATCCC